ACTTATAATATCTTAATAAAAGAGCACCACCTGTGCCCCTAGTTGTAATGACAACAGGGATATTCAAAAAAAAAAAAAATAATAGAGAGTTTCAAAGTTAAAAAAATAGATAATATATTTATTTACAAATAAGTAATATATTAATTTTATTTAATTTTTTAATAAATTTAAAATAATGATTGTTGTTATTAAAAAAGTTTATTTATTTTATTAAATAACAATTTTTAAACAGTTTTATTTTATTTTCTAATTTAAAATTTTAAAATACAATTAATTTCAAAATATATCACTTATTTGTTAACTTTAAAACTCCTAATTTTAAAAATAAAAATACATTAAAAAACTTATTATTTATAAAAAATCATATCTATTAAATTTTAAAATATTTTAAAACTTTAATAAAAAAAATTTAACTAATATTGTATTAGTTACAATTAGAAATAGGATTTTAGTTAGAATATAAAAATAGTATTTAAAGCCTTATAATTTTATATAAGTTTTAATTTATAAATTAATTATTATTTTTATCTATATTAAAATATATTAATTCAAATAGAATAGATATGAATTTGTTAATTAAAGAGTTTACTTTATAAATAAGATCAGTTAAAAATTTGAATCTTTTGACTATTAGAGTTTTGACTAAGTATTTGTAATTAAGTTTAGATTTAGGAGTTTTATCAGATGCTTGTTAAATAATTTTTCTTGTATATTTTAAATATTATGAATAGTATAGATATCAGGTTGCAAATATTTAACATGAATTGAAAAGCAAATCATAAAATAATAATTAGTCCAAGAAGACAAACTACTATATTAGATTTACAATACAATAATTTTGACATTGAAACATTAGCTAAAAACATGTTAATGAAGACTGATAACAACTAAAATTCTTAAATTTACTTTAAGTTAAAATCATATTTAAGTTTTTGTTAAAGTCACAAACTACATATGTATACAATTAGTATTTTTTTTTAATAAAATTTTTTTTAATATAATAATTTAATTTTACACATTTTTTACAAAAGCAGTATTACAGTGAGTCAGAATATATAATGCAATTGGATACTGATTAACAAAAACATGCTTGTATACAATCACTTTAGTGATGGTGCAAGATAATGTACTAAGGAAAACTTAATAAAACTTTAATGTTATATGTATATATTTTGTTTCCTCGATTATTTTATCAGCAGATACAATAGGAGTTAAAGAAAAGCGAAATAAATTTTGGATTCGCTACGATGCGTGTATTTTTCAAAAATGCCGGAACACTTATTGTACCTTATGTGTGGTTAAACCAACTTTTTTTTTCAGAGATAAATTTAACACACTGACAATTTAAAAAATATTCACTTCAGAGTTTCAATTTATAAAATAAATTTCGGCTAAATTTTGGTTTCGGCAAGGGTTTCGGATTTCGGCATGAGTTTCGAATCAGTGTTTCTGACTTTCGGTTTCGTCAAAACCGTTAAAAGTTTCGGTCACATGTATAGTTTGCACATATCTTTTTATTTTTATACGTGCTTATATTCTCGAGATACAAAACTAGTTCATTATTTGTTTTTGCATTTTTTTTAGTATATCATTGCTGATGTTTGAAAAAATGTGTAGATCGTCAATGAATACATTTCACTATGCTATCGTTATTATTTTCGCTATTATCTATTGTGTTGTAATGTACTTTGGATAATATATAATTTTCAGGGGTACCTAATGTTAGCATTTCACACTGTCTTGACAATAATACAGTTACTCAAATCTTCACATCACGGTTGAAGTTTTCTGTAGCCACATTTTTGAAACTAGTTACTATGAACATATAAAAAATCCCATGTAGTCACGGTCATTTATGAGCTTTTTTTTATCACAAAAAAACAAAAAAAGGCTATATATTGTAAACCAACTTTTAATGGCAAATGTTTAAAGTTTATATTTGGCCATGACTATAAATTTTTTAATAATTATAATAAACTCTAAACCATTAAACTAAGATTCATTATAATAATTCCATCTTTCTATGTAATATTATTTCTGATTATGTTTAAATAAAAAAATCTAATCACATTTAGTCTATGTTAATTATTATTACTATAAGTAATATTACTACTAAATCCTTATCAAAATTATAACTTATTTACAACGTTCATTTTCCAATAATTTCTAAATCACCAACTGTCTTAGTTTTAACCATAATCTTTTGGTTTCATTCTCTACTACTTCTTTCTCTGCTTTCATCGATCAATTTCCATGCCGGATCGTATCCACAGGGTTGTGTGGGATTGCGAAGATCAGGATTAGGGTGCGTATTATCGGTTCCCCCCAAAGAGGTATACCTTAAATCGTTAACACAGATCAGAGAAACAATTGATTATTTGGAAGATCTAAAATAGATAAAGTTAACAATATTTACCCTTTATCGTATAGAGTGCAATAAGGTACTTTCAATGTTCGTAAAAATTCCCATATCGTAGCGTAACGCCAATCAAGTATTGGATGAACACGAATATAGGGAGGCCAACCTGGATCTGTTGGCATAAATTTTGATAGGTTACCTATGAATACATTTGAATTTGAGAAACGTTGGCTATAAGTAATTTAATTAATATTACAAAATTATTATCTCACCTCCATGAGGATCATTTCTCCGAGTACCTACAAAGATTGCCTTGATATTCGGTCGTAATTTAGAATACTTTTCCAATGCTTGCTTAATAGGTCCTTCTATTGTAACAAGATCAATTTTATAATTGCGAACACACTTGTTTACAAAATCATCGACTTCAGCGAAAGAGTTTGGGTATGTAATGTACACCGCTTGAATTTTGAGTGTATTGATAGAATCATGGAAATTCTTAAACAAGGCAGCAGCGAACAAGTGTAATAATACCATACAATCTTTCCCTCCATTGAAAGAGAGGCTCAGGCCTTCAACTCTATATTTTACAAAAATTTTGGTTTTATTTATTATTTTAATAAAAAATAAATATAGAAAAAAAAAAGCTACACGTACCCATATAATTTTATCGATTCTTCAATAACATCCAGGGCATTAGTTATATACTTCGAAATTGGTTTTTCTGAGATCGCCTCATAAACTTCCCGCTTGATTTGTGCAAAATCCATCTTATTTGTCAAAATTTTACGCTTCATTTAGTATTGTATGATTCAGAATTTTTGATCACCGACATGCATACCCAAAATATTATTGGTCAAAAAAATCTGATTTGAAATATGATATCTAATGGGGTTTTAGATGTTGCTTAACTTTGATCAGATTTTAACAGCTCAAAAGGATTTTACTAAAACGCATGCATTATCTCAAAAACTGGCTAATTAATCAGTATGAAGTGTTCTAAGTAAAAATGTTTTACACTCCTGAACTAACCCTAATGTGAACTAATTGCTGAACTTTTAAAAATTTTGACGATTTGTAATACTAGGTGAGAGCTGGGGCGTCTCAGGATGAAACAAGGGGCCAGAACAATCTATGTACAACACCTTCGATAACTTTCTCGATCACATGAAATTAAAATATGTACGTATATATGCATATCAGATTTTAGAGTTGTTTGAGAGTTCGATCTAAATTTTCTACAATATTAGATCACATGACCTAAAAAATAATTTTACAATTACGTGATAGACTAAATAGACGTGATGTCAAGCAAGCGTAACTATCGCAAAAAAAGCAAACCCGAAAATAAACAAGAAAATGAAAATACAAACACATCTCATATAGTGGAAAATGACGATGCCCCAGATGAAGTGAGGTGAAGTGAAGTATACTTTTAAAAGTACAAAGCAGTTGAACTAGATCTATAATGATGCTCCCAATTTATAGCGAAACAATCGAAGAACTTATCGAACTTCGCAAATTTCGTCGAAGACACCAGGGCATAGATGCGGAAAAGTTATTAAAGGGTGAAGCTAGAACTAAAAAAAAAAAGAAGGATGAAGATCCATGGAAATTGACTACTGGTGGAATCGTTGACTTAGAAGCTGTAAGAGAGGCCGAGAAGTAAGCTTTATTAATTAATTAGTAAACTTTGCACCAAAGTCGTGAATTTTGGATCTTTAACAATCGTACCTCTATTAAAATAGAGAGGAAGAAGAAGATGATGATTTTGCAGAAAGAAAAATTATGCTTGATTCATTCACAAAGCAAACAAATGCTTTAGATGTTGATAAACACATGTAAAATTTCTTCTTTTATGTCGATAATTTTCCTCGAATGAAACTGAAACTTTTATTATTTGTAGGATGGCATATATAGAAGACGAAATGCGTAAACGGAGGGGACAAATTTCTGATTCGAAGAATGACGTAGAGGATTCTGAACAAATAGACCCTTTAAATCCCCAAGATGAGCTATTTCAAGCTCCCGATCATCTACGAGTATATTGAATATTATAAACATTTAAAATTTTATTGATTTTATTGTACATTACAATCAATGATTAATTATATTTTAGATCGAAAGCAAACCGATATCGGAAGGAAACGTTCAATTATCAACCACTATGCTTACTGCTATACCTGAAGTCGATCTCGGAATAGAGTTAGTACATATGTTTGTCACTCCCAACTAACATAAGTCCTAATATGTTAATTTTTATTTTGACAGTGTGCGATTGAAGAACATCGAAGAAACTGAAAAGGCAAAGCGCAAGTTATTGGAGCAGAGACACCAAAAACCTAAAGAGGAAGATGATACTGTAAGTTAAATAACCTTGTAATCTGATGAATTCATTAATTAATTCTACATATATTTATTATTATTATTATTGTATAATAAGTTTGAGGGATCAAATTTCTCTGCAACTAATAGATGTAAGTTCTTATTTCCTATTTATGGCTACATTAGAATATGAGCTGATTATTTATTTGAACAGTTTACCGCACTCGCTCGACGGTCAGTGATCATGAACGAAATCAGCAAGAAACGTTAAATCAACAATCTCATTATAAACCCGGGCAGCGCAGAGAAATGGCCACGGATGATATAGTGGCTGAAAGATTTAAAAAACGTTTACGCAGATAATATTACATAATCTATTTTGCATTAAGATAGATTGGCTGACTGATCATTCTTAAAGTTTTTAATAGTAATAATTCAATTGATAAATATTTTTAGTTAATCTATTAAAATTATAGATATACATAAAATAATAAACAAAATACAATAACGCGTCCTTATGACAAAGTATACACGTGCACTTAGAGAATTTGTGTGTTTAAAAGATAGTCTATAGAAATATACAAAAACACAATAACACCTCCGTAGGTAGGCTTTGGACAGGCAATGATGTGTATATGAGGGTGTGCAAAATTATAGATGGTGTACTTACGGAGGTGTTACTGTAATTAATCATATATTTATTCCACTAACGATTATCGGGTTGATCTGATTTTCTATGAGATTCATCTAATTGTCTGTGAGATTCATCTAATTGTCTGTGAGAACCACATCCCTCAGTTAGTTCCTTTTCCTCCTTTGTTAATCGGATCAAAGCAGCTTCCGCTAAAAGCTCCCGCCTTGACAGAACATTATTAGCATGAGTTGAACTTCCACCTAATACATATGTACCGCCTTCCCATGAGCGTGTATTGATTTTTTCTTCCTCTGGTGGATCATAAAATTCTGCACTTGAAATCTTGTGTGATTTTGACGCTGTCCAATCCATTGAAACTTTAAAATATTAAATGAGCAAAAATGTCGCTTGTTTCGGTAGAGTATTAATAACATCAAACTTACCAACATCTTTATTAAGTTGCCTGTTTAAACGATGAAAGTTGTCATCATGTTCGCTCCAAACATTATGCGTGAGTTCGTGTAACAAGACACGTCTGATTTCAGGGTAATGCCTAAACCCTTGCATATCATCCGTGCGCAATCTTAAAGAAATTAATTGTCCACCATTTTTGTTAAATCCTAAGATTGTTTTTTCGGCAGCTGTACAATAATACGTATGATTTATCAATTAACATAATTACATAATTGCATAATTACAATAAAAAAAAAAAAGGTCTTAGAATCCTTACGACTTAATTCTCTAATAAAAAAAAAAGTTCGTTAATAACAAAAAATATCTGCATAATTTAAAAAAAAACAAACTTACTGCAATATTCCTACACTCCATTTATAGTGTGACATTATTCCACGGATGCCTCGATCATCACGTAACTTCTCAAGTAAAGCACGGGCCCGATCGGGATTAGGAAAATGTTCAATAACTTCAATTTTATGAAATGTATATTTACTATCAGATGAATTTTCCACTCTGACATTTTTGTATGGCTGTAAAAAATTTTTTAAAGGATGTTAAGATTATAATCAAAGTTTGTATACACGAAAGAAGTTGACGCTTACATTAACTGCATATTTTGACTTTAACGGTTGGTGTATAATCTTCGAATCTGCTTCTCTAATTGCTTGAATATCTTGCTGAGAACTTCCTACTAGCAATACTTTGATACCATTCTTAAAATTACATTCCAGTAGTGTAGAATCATTATTCAGCAGACCTAGGAATAAATGAAAGATTAAATAAGTAATGGGATTCCCGTAAAAATTTTTCAATAACTTTACCTTTATAAAACAGTTTCTGGAATTCTACAGGAATGCTTGTCTCCTCTGCAAGATATTTTTTTAAATTCCGAATCGTATGACTCGAATTTAAGCTTTCCACTTGAATAGTCTTGCCTTTGAATGTAACTTGAAAACTAACTGAAATTTATTAATAGACTACAGTAAATGTTTATGCATTAGCGTTAATGAATACGTATGACATTCAGTTTAACTACCTACTTATATCTTCGGCCATTAATGTTAAATTAGTGTATTTTGAAATTTAATTACGAAATATGCGCTTTATATAAATAAATTTTTTGAATCATAATTTTATGCTTTATTATAATATTGGATTACAAATAAATGTGTACGTACAATGCTAGAATATTCCTAATTTACAGCGTAAACCGTTTACGTAAACTCAGATAATCCTTATGCACATACAGTATAAAAATATTTTATTTAAAACAAATAAGTTTGATAATTTATTAAAATAGCTTTACCAATTCAGAAGTCTCGAATATTAAAAATTCAATATACTACATGTTTAATATATGACTAAGGCATGATCAAATTAGATATCATCGGTTATTTCCATATAGTCCGAAGGCGAGCCAAATTTCTGACTAAGTGATATAGCATCTTGTTTCCAAGTGCTTGCTAATCCTAAAAGCAGGAAACAACATGGTAAAAAAAAAAAAAAATATTCATTTAAATGAATCATAACTAAAAATTATTAAATACCCTCAATAATGTCCAGTAGTTTATCATCATTCATTATGCTACTAGTATCAGAATGTGAGAGATTTGGTATTTTCTGTGGCCGTTCAGATTGACTTTCACTAATATGATTCGTCTCTTGTATTTTCTACTCCAAAAAAATAAAAATTAGATACACCTAACAATGTAAGCAATTAAACAAAAAAAAACCCCCGCATTACCTTACGCTTTTTAATTTCTTCTTGCCTACAAAGATATTCTATTGAATGTACAGGTCGTGGTAATGGTACCACGTCTATTGGTGGGGTAACAAACCAAAGCATTCTTCCTTTGTCGTCACGTGCAAAATGCTCGGCTAATTATGTGTTAAGATCTTAGTAAAAATTATCTTAGTATTATAAATATAAATATTAAGTTACTCAACTTGTTTCTGAAGGCAACTCAAAGCTTTGAGATGCATTATTGTTGGATACAATAGATGTTGTTCGTTTTAGAAAAGACTTAGGCATTGCTTTAGAAGTTGCTGGAATCTGAGTCGTCATGGTATGTGAAGCCGGTGATGACATCGTTGGATAATGATGTGGGTGTACATACTGAGGAGAAACTAACATAGGATGCGGTTGTGGATGCTGATAATGAGCACCGTATCCATAACCATGTAGTCTTCCCATCATCATAGAAGGATTCAATGGTGTCATTGGATGCTGATGACTATACTGTGGTTGTACCTGTGGTTGTATATTAGGAGGGAACTGTGAAGGCACAATTGGGTGTGGGCTTAAATTATCGGTTGACTGGTTGACTGTTTGTTGTCTTTTCATACTTATAGGTTTAGGTGTTACCGTTTGTGTCATTGTTGTAGACGCGGATACAGATTCTGATACTGACACCGGTGTTGACATCTGTTCAAATTCAGATGTTTCTAATTTTTGTGATTCATCTATTTTGTCATGTGCAGCTAACCATTCAGCTGCTAATGGACTTTCCGTTTTTCTCAATGTAATCGGCGACTCGTATTTATCAAGTTCAATTTTTTTAAAGTCAAATCCTTTGGGCATTACATGATGCCAATTCTTTATTCTATTAAAAACTTTGCTGCCTTCGTTATATCTTGATTCGCATACATAAACTGATTTGTTCTCGCTTCCTTTTGGCCGTCCCTTGACATAGTCTTTGACTTGCAAGACAAAACATTTTCCTAAAACATCTTGCATTGAGTGGTCATGAAATGTGTTTGTTTTGAACACTTCATTTTCGAAGAACTTCTTGCTAACTTGGTGCTTTGTTTGTTCAGGATGATAATACCAACAAACATTGACTCCACTTTCACCTCTAAGTAGATATGAACATTAGACAAACTATAAACCAATATTTAAAATAAAAACACCGTTCTATATACTTGTGGTTTTTCCAGATCCTGAAAATATGCCCAACATTTGGCTTATCCGGGTCACGTTCGTTAATAATATGAACATAATCGCCTATAAATTCACACAATTCTAATGAATATAATGCCAAAAAAGATACATAACAAATAAAAGTTCTGTATTTACCTATATTATACGTTTCGCCATTATGCTCAGTCTTATCGAATGTTTTATACATTTCACTACCTTCTTTAGTTTTAACATATTTGTCTCCTAAGAGATTATGTGCTAATCTCTGAATGTTTACAATTTATAAAAATCAAATACATAAATTACATGAAAAAAATAAATAAAATATAGACGTCCATACCTGTAGTGATTTGGCATCATTATATATTTGTGAACCTTCCACATTATATTTTTTGGCATTCTCAAACATTAAATCAAGATCTGATTCGAATGATTCATTATCCGGATATTCCTTACGGTCTATCTTTTTCTAAATAAGATTACGAAGTTTAGCGAAATTTTGCAAAATAATCCAACCAAATTAGAAACGTATAATAAATATTCTAATAACATATTTTCTGCTAAATAAGTCTAAAAATAATAAAAATAAAAATAAAATAAACCTTGATGATATCTAGCGAAATTGGTTTTTTTATCTAATTTTAGTTGTCAGAATAAATCATTTCAATTAATTGAATTTGAACCAAAATATCGCATCATACATTTTCTCATAAACTCAGTACTTTTCATCTCAACTACTAAACCTCCTCATAATAATCTGGATAGTGCCTCCTATCCGGTAGTGTATTGAAAAGTTTTGCCATGGGCCGATTTCTGTACAAATATAAAAAAATTAATACAAAAAAAACTTTTTTTAATTACATATATAATAACAATGCAAAATTATAAATTATAACCTGCTATCTCTATGGTTCTTTATCACATTCCAAATTTCTAAATAGAATTCAGTCCCAGTTCGCTGTATTTAAAAAACAATTTTACTTTATAAATTTTACTTATAAAGAAAACAATTTATTTTATTATTACAGTTACTTCGTTTCCTTCTGCATTTTGCCCTTTTTTCGTAATTTTTTCGAATGAAAGGTTGTCTGCTACAACTTTACTCCTTGTCAATCTGCCCATTGTGTGATATCAAAAATGAAATGTTAAAACTATTTTATGTACGTACGTACCAAAATACAAGTAGTATGGTCACACGATTTGTCACGCTTATCGACCAAATTTTTGAAAATGTTATGTTTTTGATGCACATATGTGTATATAGAGCTTAAGCATCTAAAATAGATCTTTTACTTTATGATGTGATATGCTACGTAGTGGGAACAGGATAAGATTTTAAAATATGCCATTTCGGTTAGAGTTAGCATTAGGTTTAGTAGGCGAAATTATACATGATTTTTTTTTTTTGCTAGTACGTGAAAGGTGATTTCTTAATTATATATATCGATATCGATATGGATTATGACCTTTAATTCTGGTCAAATTTGCGATCATTTGGCTTAGGTATTGAGTTTTAAAACTCACTGTCTAGGCCAAATGATTTGCAAATTTGACCAGAATTAAAAGGTCATAATCGACAAGGATTGCAAAAATTAAAACTCTTCTACGTACTATGTAGTAATGTTCCGCTTATGGGCACAACAATGACCGGTATTACTAAATGCACTTACCGTTACCCTCTAACCCTAACTCAGGCCGATGTTGTGCAACTTCTTCAGGATCATCAACAAAATTACTATGATGCTGGAAGCTTATACTCAATGGTTATACGAAGTGTTTCAAATTGTTAATTTTTTATCCAAAAGGTTTTAAAAAAAATCTACCTGGTAACTTTATAGAGCTATATCAGCTCTACATATGTGTCAAATATCTTTTTAAAATTCATTATTGTAAAGAGTTAATGTGTTTTAAAAATTATAATTTTATATGTAAATTTATAAATTTATATAGATTAAGTAGTCATGTTAGTATTTTATTAAGATTTTTGAAATTATTTTTGTAATTATATAGATATATTTAATAATTATGTTTAGCATTACTTAGCCATCCTAATGGCACCTAAGTGCATCTTTTTGTATTACTTTAAGCAGAAGTAAGTTGCTTGTCTAACTACTTAAAGCCTATAATAAAAAATTTTTTTCCTTTTTATAACAAAATTTAATATTGTTTTACTAGTTTTTTTTTTTTTTACTGATTTGTTTTTTTTTTTTTACTTAAGTTTCTTTTTTTGAATTTTTTCTTCATTTTGTCTATTATTCTTTTTTTTTTTTTTTTTATTAATCTTTTATATGGTATTTTTTAAACTTGTTTAATTTTTTTTTTAATATTAATAGTAAGATTATACTTTTATTTTTATTGAATATTTAATTGAGATTTTATATAAAGTACAATTTTGCTTTTAAAATATTATAGAAAGAATAGAAGCTCAAACTAATTTATCTGTAATTTAAACTAACTGGAATGATCAAGACTTACTTAAATTTGAGTATTAGTAATTATATATAGAAGATTAGTTTGATATTTAATCTATTAAATATACTAGGAGTTTATTTTTAAACTAATAAAATTGAGTGAAAAAGAGTATGATGAAAGTAAGATAGCATTTGAAAGTGTGTCATATTTAAAAGATTGAGTTGTAGATCTTAAAATATAATATAGAATTCAGATTTTATAAAAAATTTGGTAGTTAAGGTAAAGTAAGAACTTGATAACAAGTGTTATAATTACTTTTTTGAATAATAAACTTGCAATAATGTTAATCAGTTCATTTAATATTAGATCTGTTAGAGTTAAAAAGACTAAAGATAAATCTGATATACTGTAAATAGTCATACTACTTAATAGTTTAATTTGGTTTTATAAGTTAGTTATAGTATTTAAAGTAGTATCAAGTGTTTTAGTATTTAAAATATATTGTAATGAAATGTTTATAAGACTGTATAGTAATTAATTAGATGAACAAGTTGTTCAGTAAAGGTGAGCACTGATTTGATAATATTGATAACAGATAGGTTAGTATGAGTAATATTATTTGTATAAAATATATAAAGTAAAAAGATTATTTAATAAAATTTTAATTTTAGAGTTTAAAAATAGAAAACTAAAAGCTGTACAAAAAGTTTGAGATTTTTTGATTGTTGTTAATATATAGCCAAGTAGCTTGCCAATTAACTTAGTTAAGAATTTTGTACTATTTTTGAAAATAGTTTTATGTAATTCATAATGCATAAATATATATATGACATATTGTACAAATACTATGATAAATAAGTAATTCTAAGAAAAAGTTTTTAAAGTTTAAAGTATATATAAGATTGTAAATATTATAAGTAAGATATAACAAATTGTAATGACTGTATGCAAGTTGATCTGCAAGATTGTTATACTAATTATCTTAGTAAACAGTAACTTTGTGAAAAATAATATAAATATTATATAATTTGACAAAAGTAATAAGTATATTCTATAATAAAAAATATAATATATGTATATAATAAAGTATAAGTTAAATTTGAAAGACTAATATTTGAAGATTACAGACTGTAAGTTAGTATATATGTGTATAGTCAGTTTCTAGAAGCAGTAATAAGAGCTGATAAGATAGTAATAAGCTTGGACTTAAATGAGCAAGACCAGTATTTTGTTTAAGTTTGAAAGATATGCAGTATATTATTGTTTAAACTTTGGGCTCATTTGATGCCTATAGAGCATTGTAAAATACTCAGATTAATGACTAAGCCATCTGTATAAAAATAAAGTTCTAATAATTATGTATTATAGTTAGTGATTTGTTAAAGGTTATTTGTTAAAGTACTAGATTTAAATATAATTAAAATTAGATATATTGTAATGTTGATATTAGAAGAATTAGGAATTTGAATAGGATGTCAAATTGCAATAGAGTATATAAAATCAAGATAATTGTTATTGAAGTTAAGAGTTTTGTTATATATATTAATTTAATCAAAAAATTTAGAAGAGAGGTTAATAAAAATATTAATTGTGTATTTATTAGCAATTGTATAAAAGTTAAGAAAACAACCTAAGCATATTTGTAATTAGATGAATGAAAGTAAATATAGATGAGTAAATTGTTATTCTATATAGTATTGCCAATAAGTAATAAAAATAGTTTCTAAAAAAGAGAGTTGTCTTTTGGCTTTGCCAGTAATGATTTAATTATTAAATACTAAAATAAGCTATAGTTTTTTCTGTAAAGAAAAGTGTTTAGTTGAATAACTATAATAGTTTGTATTAGATAAGTGTAAATATTGATAAATAGTACAATTGTATGAATGGCTTGTAGTTTAATCTTCTAAATAATTAAACCAAAGTGATTGTTTGCCTTTAAAAATTTTGTTTATATGTATAGATATATGTTTTTAATCTAAAAAATATAAATTGTCAAATATAGTTAGTTGATCTAAGTAAAAAATGCAATAGTATCTAAGTTGTTTTTTAAATGTTAAGTATTTTGGATATAAAAAAAGTAGTAATTCAAGTAATATAGATTCTTCTTGAACAGTATATAAAATATTATATAATAAATTAGATACAAATATAATACTAAGATATTTAAAAAGTTGAATAATTTTAAAGTTAACAGTATATTTGTTAGACCTATAAATAATAGGATTTTTATGTATCAGAATACTAGTAGATGATTACAAGTTGTTCTGAAGTTGTTAAAGCCTAATATAAATACTTATTTCTAATAAATTAGAAGAATTAAGTTTTTTGGTAAAGTTTGTAATATAATGTTGTAATTGAATATCCTATATATTACAGATATTATATAGTTAGAAATGAAATAATATGCTAATGAGAATTGTGCAACTAAGTTTTGCTTTGCTTTTTACAAGTCCTATATAACTTGTAAGAATTTTGTTACATGTATATTAATTAAAAACAATGTTTTGAAGATGGTATTCAATTGTAAGAATAATAATAGTATTAATAATATAATATGTATATGTATTAGTAATTTGTTTGGTACTTGTAATTTTGACAAGATGTGATGATTTTGTAATGATAAGTTTGGTTTATTTAGCTTGTGTTATTAAGTATAAACCAACATTCAAGAAATTTGAATAGTTTATTTGGCAGATAAAGTTTAAAGAGATAGTTGTTATATATAATAGAAGTATAATTAGTTTGTTTGTTATTAGTTGTAAATACAGATTTAGCAAATTAATTTGTATATTAGCTATGTTAAAGAATAATTTAGCTGTAGAAAGAATTTGTGATAGTTCTTGTTGTAAGGATGCAATCTAGAAAGTATTATTCATATAAGCAAAAACTGAGCAGTATGAGCTAAACTTGTTATGTGTTTAATGTTTTAGATTAGTTAGCAAAAAGACTTGTATAGTATAATTTTTGAAGTTGTCATGAATATATAAAATCAGTAGATTATAGTAGATTCTCTATAAAAAAGAAGTAATTGTTTTATTCTAATCAATACTATTAAATATAGAATATAATGAAGTAAGTTCAAGATTTGTAATAACTTAATTTTGTCAATCATAAAAAATATTAGTAATAGCATTTATAATAGAATAAGAAAGGGCAAGATGTTGTAAAGATTTTTGAAATTAAGTAAAATTAACTAAGTTATATACTTTACTTATATTTTAAAATAAAAGCCAAATTAGTTTATTATTGCATGATGCATTTTCAATAAGACTATTAAATATGTAAATTGGTATGAATGTGCTATTGTTAGATAGAGCAACATAATTGTATAGTAAAAGAATAGAATATGGAGAAAACACAATACTAATTCTAGTAATAATAATTTTTGTATAGACTTTTCAAATATATTTAATAAGACTAATAGAGTAAGTAAGGCTTAAGTTACTATTAAATATATTATGTTTTGAAAGTAGATAAATTCTACTATATTTCTATTGTTTGAAAATTTGACTTGAGTTAAAGCAATAGTTGAATAAAGCTGTAAAGCTTTAATACAAATAATGTTTGCATGTTTAAGCATTTCATAGCTAATAGCTGTAAGTCTATAGACTTTTTTGTTAGAAAGTTTTAACAAAATTTGAAAAACTTTTTCTTCTGTTATAGAAAAGTTAAAAGAGTATATCATTAAATATTAATATATAGTTGTAGTT